GCAGCCACCCCCTCCCCACCTGTCAGATGTGGAGTGTGATTGCTGCGGCGTTTCCATTGAGGTGACTTGGACATTCCAGACTAAACAACTACGCTTCGTTTTTTTCCCTCTTTCCAACTACTTTTCTATAATACATTCCATATCTTAAAGATAAGCTGGGCGTGGTCACGTTCTTCACATTAACGTGGAGAAGAGGGTTTTTCCGTAGGGTATTTCCAATTAAGACATCTGCCACACTGTTTTGCGCTGAACATAGGCATAGTTACCTGTTTTAACGGCAATCCCACCAAAAGCACGGTCGCCACGTCGAAGTGAAGTACGCAGCCACGCCCACTCCCTCTTTGTGATATGAAATGTATCTGCTGAACAGGGTGATCTTTCCTGGCATGAATTTTGCATGGAAGTCATATCTGGATTTTTTCAGCAATCTCACCCGGTGCGTCGAATTTCTAACGGAACAAAACCAGGCGCACAACGTGTTTATTACTCGAGCGCAGCCAATTCGTACGAGCGGACCCGTGCAGGAGGAAGATCGTGCACGTGTACGGCCACAATACGTCACCGCCTACGTATTCCCACGGGTAAACGCCAGCGGTAAGTTGAGCCTAATGGCTTTATAATTTCAGTAACTAGACGTTTTCGAAAATAGTGCAGCTAAAAGGCGTCCATGCGGGTCTCATTAGTAGACCGCCACATAAAAAATGCGTAGACGAGAAGCAATTTTCAGGAAATTGCCAAACATAAACTGCCACCAATAACAAAAGTGCAACGCAAAGATGGGGGGGGGAGGTTCGTATTAGCCTCACCTTATTCATTTCAACGATGGTTTTCCAAAGCGATAAACATTCCTATTCCTTTAATTAGCCTGAAACTTCTCGACAGAAGAGATCGCGAGCATTTGTTTGGATGACTGAAGCCGGGAAACAATTTTTCATACATATTAGAATGAGGTTACTACGACAAAACAGCGACAGAATCCCTAAACACAGTGGTGGTCGCATAGACAACAAAAACCTCTCAAATCCTCCAGATAGGGAAAAATGAAATTTCCAGGTGCAAAACCGCCAACAAATTTCAATCCTGCCGCCAATGAGCTTGCCGGTTGCCTTACATCCTATAGTGAGTTCCTTACAACTTTTTACAAACTTTTCTGCACTTTGAAGATGCAAAAGAAAAATATAAGTGCATTCCTAAAGCTGCACAAATTAACAGGTTTACGTCATTAATTTCGTAGAACCGCTGACGTGAAATCAAATAATGGATGCAGGAATTCGCAATAAGGGCAGGCTTTCAGAAATGTAATTTTCAGCAATACGGTTTTTCGAATCTGCCAGTGAACAGTCTTGTGTACGGATTATCGAGGAAGAAGCCCAGTTAGAAAGTGAGGTATTCCAAAAAGTGAGTGCTGAGTGATGATTTGTAAATACTTTGATTTTCATTACTTATTAACTTTTCACTTTATTAAATGAGAGAGTGAACTGCAAAGCGATTGAGCCTTGAAGATCATCTGAGAATATTTACGGCACAGGTCCGATTGGTGGGGGAGGGCGAGGAGGGGGGGGGTTAAAGGAAGGGCAGGCAATTAAACTTCTTGATTTGTGCAAATTGCGTGTTGCTCTTTAGGGAAATAAAAACATTGCCTAACAGGGTGGGGAGGGTGGGAAGCAGGACAAGGATGACAGAAATGGCGATAAGTGAGTTTCCCGGAGTTTCCACCTCCTGTTTGACCCCTAGCCTACCTACCATTGCTGCAAAATAGCGCAGCAAGAAATCGGGAAAGGGGTAGATACCTTTAACCAATTACCAGTGATAGTAGTTTTGCCCACTGCCATGAAGTAGGGAGGTCACACCCGGAAATGAACAACCAAGAAAATTTCCTCAAACCCGAATAAGAGCCCTCCCCTTCCCGTGGTGGATTTTTCGCAACGATGATGTACGGTGTTGGGTCCATGGTGGGGAGGCGACCTGAGTTTTGAAAAAAGTTTTGCATGACGAGCCTCCTAAATGCCCCCTTGCAGGATTCCCTTTCTTATTTTGTCCATTCAGTATTAAGCTCGCTAGACGAGAATTGGAGGTGCTGTAAAGGGCAATGCCCGACCTTTGGGGAGCGGAGGAGGGGATTTTCAGAGAAGCTGATTACGAAGCGGACGTAGGGCGACTGAGAGACCGGAGATTCTTACGAGTTTGACACTCAGGGAGCGAGACGGCTTCGCAACCTTTAGTAACACTCCCAGACTCCTACCACCTCCCCTTAATAAATGTGGGCATCCGCCGCAAAATAATTCCTCTCCGAAATGCGGCGCGCATGCTACATTTATACCGAATCCATGGGCACATTTGGAATGGCCTACAAAGTGATTTAATTGAGGCAGAGGTGGGGGCAGTGGGGTGGCAAGTGGCACGTTTACCAGGTGCACGATCGGAGGATCAAATCCTGGAACGGCTCTGGTCCTGGCCAACCAAGCCTTCTTTCCTCCGCGGACGAAGAATCGGTACCAGATTCGTTTGGAAGGCATAATAACTAACTTGTACACGGGCTGGCTTCTGCAAGCCATTTTATGGGCCACACCGTATTCGGTGAGCCACTACGATCTGGGAGTAAGATGCAAAGGGACTGCTCAACGGCGAAGACTTTGTCCTTCCATCTTTCAGTAAGCTAATCTACGAAAATTAAAATTTGGTACTCAAAAAACTTTTAAAAAATTCAGCTATTTTTAGAGGGCGGTTCAGGAGGATTCGACCTTAAGAGATTCCTAGAAAATTGTACTTCAATAATCGTTTCACAGAAACGTGTCATTCACGTATCATAGAATGACAATAGGCAGAAATGCTTAGTCATGCTCCTCCAAGACTAAAAAAATCTATCTACTTTATTGCGTTCCCAGGCAACTCTCTCTGGATTAATATTTTTTAAGCCTAATGTCTTTAATCAGCTGACATAGGTAGAAACTAATCATGTCAGATTGCCTTTTTCAGCTAGCCTTGGACTTTTCTGATCTGCTTAGCAATCGACCACTTGGCTCATCA